CACAAACACACTCGTCCTTTGGTAAGGTACAGGATCTCACATGGAAAACACAAATATGTTTCTACTTGAATTTGGGAGCCTGCAGTTAATCAGAAAAACAATTAAAAACACTTCATACCCTGTGGTCAGATAACAAAATATCTGATAGCTACAATTTTTTTTTCAAATACTTGTTTTTGCAATTAGTGAAGAAATAGTGACTGAAAAAGAGATAAATTTAGATTAGAGATTTGTAAACTAGGATTCTTTGGTTTTTATTTTAATTGTGCTATGCGATAATTCTGCATTTTAATTGGCACTTGGATATCAGGATGATAGACACCTTCAAATACAATGACAGAAGAATTTGCAATGGAGAAAGACACTGCCAGAAGTAGAGACAAAACTATTTTATCCATAGCAGGTCAGGCACAACATGGGTAGGTACAATCCTGAAGAAAGCAAGATAATACTACCTCTGTCATCGTTTAGTGTCAAGCCATTATAATGGAGAAAGAAGAAAAATCAATGATATTAGACTACAATTTTTATACTCAATCCAACTCATTCTTCCTACTTGAAGCTCTGTGCTGTGTTTTCTCTAAAAACTTGCACCCACCAAGTGTTCTGTGATCGTGTAGGTTGCAAAACCCCTTCTACAAACTCTTACATATATTCAGACAGTGACAGCAAACGTGCCATCAGCTTATTCTATGGAGCTCAAGGCACTGAAGCACTGATTCCCCTCCTCATGCAGCAGTAAACTACATTGCACTGGAACAAGGTGAGGTTACATTTTCATTTTAAGAGCAAAGACCAAGGACTGAGGTTACACAGAGGTGACATAAATTACTGGGTATTAATAAAAGCATGACTATTCAGATTCAAATGGAAATCAGCAACCCAGGAATTTTAATAACTTTTATTTTTTCACACATCTTAGAAAAGTGTTTTTCGTCAAATCATGAGCAGCTGGCACTGGAAACGCAGAGCTCCAGCCAGTTCCAAACTCTTTGCCTAGCTGATGAACTTTGAAAATATCAGCTCCCCTTTGGCCAAGAGCCAGAAGTTTGTCTTCCCCAGCCAAAAGGGCTCTCCAGCAGGGCAGGAAAACAGCAATGCATGTGCAGACGGGACCTGGGCTCTCTTCCTACAGCCCCATTTCCATCAGATGCCCTTTTCCTAATGCAGGCCAGCAGTTGCAAGGGCAGTAGTGGAACGGAACCTCTGCAACCCAGAGAGCATTTTGTCAGGGACTCCTCTCCTCCTGGTTCATGTCGGAAAGGGAATGGGGCATTGAGAACCTCCAAGATCCACTCCTCGCAGCTACCCACAGCCCTAATAAAGCTAGGGTGGCATTTTCAACCTTTTTGTGCAATCCTAAGAGCTAAACTTTCTCTAAAAGGTAAGTGGAATGTCTAACAAAGTCGAGGAGTGCCATGAGCTGGGATCTAACCAAGAACATATATTGTCTATACTTACAGTTGCTTCTCTTTCAGTGAAACCATATGAATTCTTCCACATTTACCAAAGCCTGTACTGTCCAAGGGTTAGTCACTATATTCTTCTAGTCTTACCACTAGCCCACAGAAAGGAAATTCCCACCAAGACAGGTGGAACATTAAAACAAAGGCATCAATACACGGGAGCAGGAGACAAAAGTGTATTCCTGTGAAATGAATGTAGCCAGAATAGATGTTCAAGCTGCAGCCTGAGAAAATCCCTCCTGGTCGAGCAACAAAAAGGACTCTCAAACTCAGAGGATGAAGAGCTGCCAGGTGGCAGAATCCCCCCACTGGAAAAAAACACCCCCAGTTTTGTGCTGGAGAAGGATGAGAAGGAAGAGTGAGTGCTTTCTTCCTAGTAAGTCTAATAAGGAACCAGGCCAAGCACAGCAGACAAGGAAAAGATGGTCTAGTCCCCAGCAAACACAACAGGGTTGAACAGACCGTGCTCTACCTTCTTGAATCTAATATCAAGGCAATGACTGAATCATGACGAGAGTCTCTCAGGTTTTTAGTTTATCTTGTATGGTTTTGTCACACATGGAAACAATGCTGAAAATCCCAGTACAAAATGTGCTCCTAACTGATGGGCACTATCATCCTGTGAATAGTTGTTAGGACAATTCAGTGTAAGCCCTTCATGACAAAATCGTACAAACACGGCACCCTGCTTCAACTGATGAGGAATAAGGTCGGCAGAGACCTTTACTTGGCTGAGGTTCAACAGTATTACAAGTACAAAATTAAGAAGGAGATGTGATTAAAGAAGAATGTTAATTATTAAACCAATTCATTTGTGGTTCTTGTCCTTCATGTTGAGTTTTCAGGATCTTTCAGTGACACTCGCCCAAGTAACCTCCTTGTTCCTAAAGCTTGCCTTTTCAGAAAAACTAAATATCAAAAGACTTTTCAGAATAATTCTGAGAGCTGGGAGTATTTCACATTTCTTATCTTTCTGGTTTGTACCAACACCTAAGGGAGTATTTGCAAAACCCCAAGATCATCATCAACAGCCC